CTGTTTTCCTAACTTTACAGAGCAGATTTTTTTTGTAAACTGCTGACCTATAAATTTGAAATTTCAGCGTTCAGCATTTTGACATTATTCTTGCAAGATGAAAGATAGTTTTCTGTGAAAGCATAACATTGGGGCATCATCAGCATCCTCGTTTTAAACAACAGTTTGAAAGGATTATAAGATTTCACGGCAAATCGTGAGACGTTGATGCAAAACATTGTGGAAGATCCTAGTGTGTGAAAACAGGGTGGATTCAGGAGTAAGAGGAAAATGTGAGCATTTTGAATAACAGAAATACTTGCGACTAACAACACAGTTACTTCTAAAATGTCTATTTTGAGTAGTGTTATATTTAATCTAGTGTTTGTGTTGCTGAGCGAGGTTTCTGGTAGTTGAATTTGGTTTTGGGGAGACCCCTAGGAAAAATTTGAATGCTTTGGAGATTCCTAGTGTACATTATAATCTCTCAACTCTGCAGTGGGTTGGCAGAATGAATCCATGTGGACAAGATGATGTTGTTCTGCTTTCAGTCTTTTTTTTTATGTGTGTGGTTTTTGTCTGGTGGCTGTTGTTTTGTGGGTGTTGTGTTTTGTTTTTGGGCCTGCCTTTTGTTAAAAGGGATCCATGGTGGTATAGGACAGAGAAATCCACAACATAACCTTTTGGTTAAAGGGTAAGATTCCACAGAAGTAAGCAAAAATGAATTACCTCTTACTCTGCTAAACTATTTGGGCTGGACTTAAATGATTAGGGTGTATGGTGTGGTTTCTGAAAGGAGAACTGTTGGCCCAAAGGCTGGTCCAAACCAGTTACGGCTTTAACTGGTTTATATGGCTCTATTTAATTCAGTGAATTAAATTTCAAAGCTGGTAAACTTAGTGTTTAACATTGGGTCACCTGCTGTGGGGTTTTCCTTATTAGCAAAGTTCTGAAGAAGGAACTGTATTTATTTATTTACTGGATATTTAGAAGTTAGCTGTCTGTTTGCTCTTCTACTTTAGAAGCCATTTAATACCCCATGGAGAGGTGTACGGAAGCAATTATTACTGTGCAGTGTGTGCCAGGGTACAGGGGGACTTCTTGCCTATGTAGTGTCAAGTATGAGCTTTTTGGTTTCCTGATGACTTATTACTTTGTCAGTACATGCCAGTAAAATAGCCAGTCCTATGCTGGAGTACATAGATTCAAAGATGTGCTTGTAATCAGAAGAGTATTGCAAATGGGTTTATTTTCACTGTGTGAAGAGCTGCCACAAAACAGGCAAAGGAAACTTTAAGAGTTAGAGTGGGTCGTTATGCTGTGCTGCTGGGTAACTAAAACTACTATGGACAAACTAGTGAGTAATTACTGTCAGGGAGGCCGTGTGGTGGTCAATTTATTAGCTGTTGCAGCAAAAACGAATCTACCAAATGTGTGCCAAAATGAGTCAAGTGGACCTCTTCAGCCAGGATCCCTAACATCCGCAGGCGAAATAGGGTGATGAAATTATCGTTGACAATCTTAATCTGCCACGTCAGCGTTGTAATAATAGTCAGGATTTTCTTTAGCAAACTGACGTTGCGTTCTTGAAAAAGATGTGGTGGTGGTTCTGGCTGATTTTAACTGGCTTTCTCTAAAGTGGGACAGGTTGGCTCTCTATTGGCATTCAAGCTGGTCTCTCATGTAGGCTCTCTGGATTTCTGTCTCAGGTGTTTGTCCTAAACCTCCCCTTTAAAGTCAATTCTGCATCTTGCAGTCGTTTCCACCGTTCTTTGCATGTACAGGAGCAATCCAGCGAGACCTCAGCCTTGCAAAACGAGGGCACAACGTCTCCAGAGCTCTGGGAGTGCTTCTCTACTATTTTTGGAACCAGCTCTATTGCTTCTATAATAGGAAGGCTTCTGGAAGGTTTCTCCTTCCCCTCGCCTCAAGAAAGTAGCTTTTCAGCCGAGCTTTCATTAATTCAGAATCTGTGTGGCAAAACAAATCTAGTTTTATACACTAAATAATTCAGACGTGGCTCATGGATCACGTGGCCTCGAATGCCCAGCAGTGCAGGGAGTATCTTTACCCATGCCCTGTAACCCGAGGACGCGGCGGCTGTAGCCCCGCTCAGGGGTGTTCAGCTACCCCCGATTTGTCATTCGGGGCACGCCATAGATTATGTGGTGACAAGGAGTGCCAAAGTAGGTGGTAGCTTTCTAGAAAGTGGAGTAATGTGTGATCTGGATGCGTTTGTCACCAGCGCTGCAGCAGCATTGGCAACTAAGGGATTTACTGCTTTTGTTTTCCTCTTGGATCAAGCAGAACAAATCTAATGAGCCAGTTCTTAACTTCTTCCCAGTTGAGCAGCGGATGATGTCCTTACCCAAATTGTGCAAGACAGCTGAAACCTTTCAGGAATAATTGAACAAAGGAAACACTTGTAATATTATTTTTTTCCAGTATTAAAATACAGGGTTAACAACATGAAACGAAGCTTATTTTTTCTTTAGTTTCTTTTTCCCTTCTGAGATTTTCCTTTTGAGGGGAGGGGGACGACTTAGTCCTTCCACTGCTAACCATACCTACAGAGAGAGCGTGAGAGCTACAAATTTGAAGCCTTTCATTCTTTATTGACATGATCTTGGAAGGAAGACAGGTTCTCCCTGTAGTGCTTCATTAGAATAAGCATTTCATATGCTTATCGGTCCAGCCAGTAGTGCTGTTCGACAGCAGTGAGGAGTCAAACGTTGCCTTGGAGCCCTACACACTCATTTTCCCGTTTCCGAAACACTCTGTATTTTGCACACTGTACATTCAAAAGTGTTCCTTTCAGCTGGCTTGAAAAAAAAAAAAAAGCTAAAAACTACTTTGTGGCAGACACCTTTCCTGGCACAATTCAAGGTGTGGGTTCAAGACAGCTGAATCCAGTCTGAGTTGCTGGGAACCTCGTCCTGCTGGGCTTTGCTAGTGCCTGCCAGGCCTGGGGGTAAGTGGGCTCAGGGAGCTGAACTCTTCTGGGTTAATTTTCTCTTATTTCAACTCCCTGAGCTGCATCAGCTGCGAAATCAGATGGATACCAGTGCTGATAGAGGGGAAAGCGTGGAACGTCTGGGAGGAAGAGAGGGGTGAGACCCCAGCATGGCAGGAATTACAGTGACTGAGCAGCTGTGGGGCTGTGCAGTGTTTCAGAGCAACCATATGCTCTCTGCTGTCATGGATGCCCAAGCTCAAATTTACATGGGAATCTTCACATTTCAGTGAACTTCTACGTCTGGTGTTATTCAGGGTTCACAGAGCACGGATTGGGAGCTTGGTGGAACCTTGAGAAGGGCTGGAGTGAATTTGGTGGGGAAATGAGCCAAGGGTGATGGTAATGAGTTCCTGCTGCTTGGCCAGCTCTGATTCCTGGTGCCTAGAAGTGGCACCAGCAGGTTTTGATGTGTAAGTAAACACCCCATTTATTCCTGCTGGAACCCCTGTGTCAGCTTTACTGCTTTTAGGTTAGATAACATCAGATCTATGTGAAGTGTTACGCATCTTTTGGCCATCAAGCAGAGGGCAAGCTGAGCACACAGGTTTTCACAAGGCAGGTGATGTCTGTGGTGGCTCCTGTAGCCTCCTGCTGCAGATGAAAAGGCCAAACTGCAGTACACTAGGACTCGGAGAATCTCATCTGATTGCAGTTATTAATCTTTGCATCTCTTAATGCCTCCTGAATTGGATATAGTGTCTTTACTAAATACCCAGTTTCATGTAAGGGTTTGTTGCCAGCTGCAGGTGGTGGAAAAAACAAAGGTGAGGTCACTCTGAAACTCTTTGTAAGACAGCTTTAGTTAAAATGTGCTTGTTTTATCTTACTTTGCTTAAGACTGTTCTATTAAATAAAGAAGTAAAACTTAGCTGGTGAACTCAAAAGGTCATTTTTTAAAGTGTTTAAAATAGGTAGATATTACATGAAGAACAGTTAGAAAGGAAGTTGTTTTTAAGAGGAGCTGGTGTATCATTCTTACTGTCTGACCTAGTCTGGGAGCCACTGTGGATTGCTGGTTGTTGCCATGAAGTGGGAATGTTGTGACTAGGGAAAGCTTTCTGTGAAAGCCTCTTTCTTGCTCAGGAGATCCTGCTGCTGTTTGGGGAGGGAGGCAGGGCTGGAAGGATGGCTAGGCTGGGAAATGGCAGAATTGCATGTCTAGTGAAATATGCTTTTAGAGACAAGTATCATGTAATAATCTAAACTTGAGTTCAGTGGTGTGAGAATGTTCATGCAACCCTGTTCTTGCAAGAAAACAAAAACCCACATGGAGATCTCTATTATAAGGCCTTAGCACTAGCTCTTCTTTTAATTTAAGGACTACTTGTCCCTTATAATGACTGTTTTTTGGTACCAACTCTTCTGAGTTCCCCTCTGAAATACTTGCCATTGATTTCTTCCACATCCTGGGTTGTGCTGATGCTCTTTGCCCAATCGATCCAGTACGATGGCCCTGCAGAGCATCCTAAAGCCAGCCCTGCGTGGAGGTGGGATAGCCAAATGTGTCTTTACCAACAGTGTGTTCGCTGCTCAGAACCAGTCCCGAGGCCACGGCCTCCCTCCTAGAGAGCAAAATTTTCTGAGAGGATGTGCCCATCCTTCAAACTTGTTTATCAGTTACTGTTGCTACTGTTTAAAACACACTTGCTCTTTCAGTAAAGCTTTAGCTATTAAAATATCAAAAGCTGTATTGTATTGCTGCACAGATGAAGAGACCTTGACCCTCCCACTCCCCCCATCCACGCTAGTTGAGTTAATACATTTGTTTTCCTAAACTGCAGCAGCATTCAAAACTGATGATAAGACAGGGAGTTTTGTGGGACCACTCAGCGAACTGCTGTCCGTTGCTGGGAGGACGTGATGCTTACTGCTGCCAAAATCTGAGTCCTTCCCACATCTTATGCATGAAGGCATATGTTTGGGGGTGGTTTCAGAAAGGGAGAAAAACACGATTAGGTTTTTAACTTCCTCTTCTGTTTTGTTTCTCTGTGCATCTGCATTTCAGTTTTCAGGCTGTACCCAATTCTGTGCAAAACTAACAAATCAGCTGAAGCACCTACTGATAAGGATCAGCCTTGGTAAAGAAACACACTGTGGTAGTTAAAAGGCAGTAAGTATCTCTGTGCTAGCTTGGATACTGATTTTTTTCCTTTTTTCCCCCTCCCTTTTTTTTTTTAATTCACAAGCACAGCTTTTTACTACTTACACAGTAGAAATTTGTCAGTAGCTTGCTTGTATTAATAGTCTATTTTAGCTCTTTTCTATAGCCCAGCAGCTAGAGGAGGGGAAAAAGCATGCTTTGTGTGGAGCTGCGTTTGGATCTGTGCGGCAGTGCCCATCTGAGCTTCTCCGTGTCTATTTTGTCAGCTTTTGCTTCCCTCTAGTAGGTGCTGGTCCCTTCTTAAATGCATGACATCCCTCCATACTGATGCCTGTGCTTGGATCGGGGTCGTGGCTGCCTCTGACTCGAGCCAGCTTGCTTGATCGTTTTGCCTCTTGAGCTCTTCACTACAAACAGGATGATCTTTCGGTTTCAGATTTTTTTTTTTCTGTCTGACTTTTTATCGTGTACTTCTCAATTAATCTGCAAAGGAGTAGGACTAGGACAAAACATCTGGTGTTCCTAACCAGGAGTACACGGAGAGAGTTCTAGCTATTGAAAAAGTGACTGGCATTCTTGAAATGGTATGGTTGCATTTATTTGGGTGTGTATATAATCATGTTTCTGTGATACAATTCCTGCTGCGTCTGAAATGTTAGTGTCAGTAAAGCCAGAAGGAAAGCCAGACAAAAGCTTGGATAAAAGTCAGAATTTCAGTGGTGCCTCTTACTGATGGTTCATGGGAAAGTAATGATTTTGTTTAACTTTTGATTTTCATGAACCACTAGGCATATGCTTTTTCCTTGGTGAATTATTGTTTGTGAATATATATTTTTACAACTCACAAAACATCAGGAATGGGTGAGTTTTGTGCCTAGGTTTCACTTTTGCAGGTAGGTCCTTGTTGTAAGCTCCGGGTAGTCTAATGAAAATAGTGTTTAACTACAAAGCTTCAATTTTTGCTCCTGTTAACCACGGCAGCCTAACTCCTTGTCTTTCTGAATTCATGGAGTAGAAGGCAAACTCTCATCCGCCTGCTCTGTCAGTGCCATGCCTCAGTCTTCCCCATCCAACACATTTCTCTGCCGTGTGTAGAGCTCAGCAGAGATTTATTCATGAAGACTGGAATGTGTTTATATAATATTTTATATATTATTTTAGGCTCCTGCTTACTCAAATGTAGGCAAATGATTAACCTCTCATTCACCATCACTAGAGGAATCGTGAAATTGCTGTAGCAGACATCAAGTCAGCTGGATCTAAACCAGTTTCTGTTTACCCTGCCTGGAAAGTCATCCTTCATCGCTTTCTTGGCGAGTGTGGCTACCAAGTTAGAGCAGGCTTTCCAGGCCAGGAGTGTTTAGTGGCAGTGGTGAGTTGTAAATCATGTTGATCAAGCACTGATTAACTGAGCTGTGCACAGGTAGGTGCTCCTCTGCGTGGGAGTTTCCTCTCTGGCAGGTGTTGTGAAAGAGGTGGTGTGAGAGGCTCTGTCTCTGCGAGAGCTTGGCTGTGGCCAGCACAAACCTCCAGCGAGTGCCTCTGCCAGTCTGCACTGTGAAATGCTGCCTGAGGACAGGGCAGCGGTAGGAGCGCTGGGCAGAGCTGCTGAAAAGGAGAGAACAACCTGCTGCGCTGAATCAGAAATCCCCTGGGGACACAGCTCTATAGTTAGCATCTTCAAATGGCATTCCTTTATTACAGCATCATTGTGCATGGTCCTCTAGAGAGGAAGCAAACAATCTTTAAAACAATCTGCTGGCAACTCAGGCTTGAGTATTTGAGATTTTCCAGGGCCCTTCTGCTGTGTCATTCTTTCCTTTTATGTTCCCACTCGAAGGTGGTTGTTCTTTCACCATCAAAGTATGTTAAAGCACTGGTGATAGCGTCTACTCCAAGGACAAGGCGTAGAAGGCAGCAACCTAGTACGGACAAGATATACTGCAGAACAGTTTTGTTTTGGTGAAATCGGCTGTCTTATCTGCGTGATGCAAAGACGGGGCAGTTTTTGCAAGGTTTGGAGGCTGCATGGTGGCATGTTTTTTTGTCCTTTGTGAAATCTGCCATGTTATTTTGATTAGAATGCTAACGTAACTCCTGGCAGCGTCCAGTCTTACTGCTAGCAGCTATTTCCTTCCAAAGCTTGATGCGGTGCTAACAAGCAGAAAGATTTTTGTATGTCCTGTTTGCACGGAGCTTGGAGGACAGCGTGTTCCACGGGAGGTGCCAGGGTAGTGCTGAAGTCGTATATAAGGTGAGGAAGCATTGTTTGTGCAGACAGGCTGTTGTGTGGGGCGTTAATTTGTATTTTAACAGTGTTCAGACACTCCAGCTGCAATAATGGCATGATGATGTTCTTTTGTATTTATATATTATTTTATATATCTGCATGTGTACGCATACATCGCTGTGTGTATATGTATTTATTTTCTCTCTCTTGGGGAAGAGTCCTTGTCCTGATCACCCGTGCTTCGATCACTGCTGTACTCGGACGTGATCTTCTTATGTACCTCTTGCTTGTTTAGTTCCTAGGTGGCAGAGACACGGTGAAGCTCTGTGTGGGGCAAGGAGAGCTGATGGGGGAGCCCTGTGCGTAACCCAGGATGGACTGGCTGTGACGGCGTGCCTTAGCTGGGGAGGTAGTTACGATGAAGAGTTCCTGCAGAGCTGGCCTCCACAGGGAACCGCTGAATTCCACATCCTCCACCTTCCATCAAGTCAAACGGTAGGAACAGACCAGCTGGTCTGCCTGTAGTTAAGTATTTAGCACAGATTTAGCCTTCTTAGTTTCCTATTGTCTTGTGTGTCACTCAAACGTTTGGTTTAAATTCTTACTTTCAGATAGTGTTTAAGTGAAATGTTGTAATGGCTTAAGGGCAGAAATGTTCTTTGACATTTTTATTTGATAATGACAACTACAGATTCACTACAGCTGGTACTGTACTTGGAGAAATCTTTGGGTTTTTTAGCAACAGCTGCAAATTAATTTGGGAACATGGCTTTGAAGTAAAACTTAATTGGAGAATGGCTTGTCATAGTAGGCTTTAAAACATGCAGTCAGCTTACAGCAAGTGGAAATACTGGCAATCGTTGCGGTTTGTCTTACTACGGAGTAAGTAATTAGATTAGCTTAAGCTGAGATTTTGTATTGCTCACTCTCCTGTGTCTCTTCTTAAGAAGAAATGCACGATTGATTTCAAACACTTGTGCTTATGTGACAATTAAGTGAACGCCTCTCACTGTGTCTCATTATAGGAACACCGTACAGAACAACTTGTCCCTATGCAAATGCAAGAACATGCCAGTTTGTTGGAGTTCAAGCTACTTGAAAATATATGTTGTTGTGGTGGTTTGTTTTTTTTTTTTTTTCTTTTTCTGAAACCAAGACTCTCAAGCTTCTTCAATCTGGAGGAAGAGAGCCAACTTTCTGGTTTCCAAAAGCTGTGTGGGTTTAAAGTGAACTTTAACCTTTGTTCTTTGTGGTTGTGTAGACAGCATATACTTGCTATGTTAGTCTCTTGGTAATTTAGCACCGGAAAAGACTTCCTGGGTCACCCAGCTCCTTGCTTTCCCAAGCAGTATCTCATAATCCTTTTGTAAATTTAGAAGTCTAGCCTAAAAACAATTACATCTTTTCTTCTCTCCTGTAGATTAAACCATTACTGAAGATGACAGATCTAGGTGTGCTATTAGGAACATTCTTCTGATTCCCAGACTGAACATTAATGCCACCTCATATACTTGTTTGAGCTTGTGTTCCTTTTTCTTTTTGCATAAGGACTGCTTTTTATTTTCAGTGGTTTACCTCTTTTGCTGTATTCCGTAAAGTATGGTTGTGTACCCTCTGCTGTGGTTCTGCTGTGCTTAATGACCCGAGCATTAGCTAGCAGCTTCTTGAATAACAACTGTCATCATCATTCTCAGTCTGGGTGAGTCTCCTCTGAGTCACGACAGAAAGTGCATGCTGCACTCCAGAGCAGATGTGGCAGGAGGGCTTTTTGCTGCTGCTTGGATGTATCACAGAATCTCCTCCGCTTGCCTCCGTTTCATAAATGTGTCTGTGGTGGCCAATGCATCTTCCTTAGTTACCTCCAAAACTTCTTGGTGTTCAGCTTGCTGGTGCACCACCATCCCGTCTGTATTTCAACTTCCCTCAATTTCTTTTACTCGGTGCTCTGTGCCTCTGCTGTTTTGGAAATGCCTTAATTTCTGTGGGTGCACCTGTAGTATTTGTGCTGAGGTCATTCTAACAAAATCAGATGTTCCCGAGGCTGATACTTGAGGCTTGTCTTTGGTTTCCAGGCTGGTATTTTCTTATTCAGCATCACCTGGGGTTGTCTGCTGCTAAGCCAGCTCCTTTGTGTGTTTTCCCATTCCTCTGCCAATCTGTTTTAACCAGTAAATCTCCTTGTGCCTTCGGAAGTCCGTGTGAGTAGGATGTAATAAACTTGTCTAAAAAGATCGCTTTTTTGAGAACCTTCAGGTTAGTCTGGCATATTGAACTATTCCCTCTTTCCCCTTTTTCTCTGTGTGGCTGTAATCCTCTTTGCTTGCAAAGTGCCTTTATATTGGAGTCAGACTGCCAGGCCTGGAGAGGCTGCGCTCTCTGTCCCTTCGTTCTCCCCTGCAGTGCCACCTCTGATGTGCCACATGTTTTATTAACTCGTATTGTTGCCTTTCAAGAGATTTATAAATCTTGCTGCTTGGCCTGCAGTTTATGAGCCTATCTAATTTGGATTCTAAAATTGAGATGAGCCAATCCTTGCAATTTTCATGAAGCTTTTTAATCCTCCCCTTGCCAGTGTTCTTGTTCAAATTAACCCTTGGATTTTTGCCCTCATGATCACCCTTACTACACCTCTTTAAAAACGATGCAAAGTCAAATTTGCTATTTTGTCCTGTGCCTGGAGTGCTCTTAATCTCTGCCCTGACCTTGCTTGCAGCCCTGTTTTTCTCCCTGTCCTTTCTCACAAGCTGAAGAACCTTTACTATTTCTTTGGATTTAAATATCTTTGCAGTGTCTTAATGCTGCACCAGTTCTCATGTTTATTCCTAGACTTTTTGATCTCTAAGATACAAGTTTCCAGGTGATGTGACTTGAAACCTATGTCTGCCTCTTGTATCTTTCCCAAAGGAGGGCTTATTTGGTTGGCGCTTCTGTTCTTGTTTGGGATGTGCTCTTAATAATGAAAACACCTTTTGACTCCTGGAAATGCCTGCTGGGTTGCACTGTCTGCGGTGAAATCCTCTGCAGTGCTGACTTCATGAACCCGTTCCTTTCGGTCTTGAGTTTCAAAAGAACAACCTGGTAACTTGCCTTCAGACCTACTTTTGCTTATTCTTTCTTTTGAACTCTGAGTCTCTTAATGATAGCGCGGTTCAAGGTTAATTTCTACAACCTTTCATGTGTTCTCATTATGTATGCACAAAAGTGAAGACTAAATAGCATCACTTTGTGTTGGTTCATTAACTGTTTGAAGAAATTTGTTGCACCATGATATTAAGAAAGGTCTTGGTCCTCTTGCAGTTAGTAAATTAGAAAACAAATATTAAATTAAGAAAGATAAAACATTTCCAGAAGGAAACATGTCAATTAACTATGCTGCTCTGGGCAGCTTTCAGCAGCAGCCCTATAAAACCACCACTTTTTTTTTTTTTTTTTTTTTAACTATCCTTCTGTGATTTCTTCTCATTTTAGCATGTTCCACCACAGACATGTGTGCAATCCCATCCCCTTTGGATTACCTGTTTCTGGAGCTGTTTATAACCTTGCCTAGTACATCTTTCAGTTTATTTCATTCCCTTCTGCTTCGTCATCCCCGTGTCACCTGCAGCATGGCTGGAAGCAGGGAGCATGGGTTTGAGCTTCCTCAGGCTCAGCAAAGCATTGCTTCTACATCACACACTTCACAGGGAGTGTTTTTATACAAAAGACTGGCAAGGCAGTAGCACTTCTTCCTGTGTAAAATTTAGAAAGTAGCTGAGGCTGCTGTGCTTTATGCTGGGGGGTGTATGTGTGTGTGTGATTACTTCAAAATGTGTCCAAAACTTATTAATGGGTAGGAGCCCTCAAACTGGAGTAGGTTGTGCGTTGGACTTGGATATGCAATCTGTCACCTGCAACCCCTGCTTGGTGAAGAGGTTGAATTGCATGCATGATGGATTTTATAGCTGCTCCCGTGTGCAGCTGTTATTTGGGTGTCCTCTCCCCCAGAGTCAGGTTATTTGAACACCTGACGTGGGAGAGCAAGTGGTGGGGGGATCCAGTGATAAGAATCAGGTGTCTAATTTGAATTTAGCTCCTTGGCACTTTGGGCCAGCTCTGCCCAATGTATTCAGCTTGCTCCCACTTCTCCCCAGGCCGGCCACTCAAGCAGAGAGCGCAGCTTCAGCAGTCAGACACCTTCTGTTTACCTTCAAAGCCCATGATAATCCTCGCCTGCTCTCCAGTGGGTGCACGAGGCAGTTTGGCAGGCGTTGGGAGGTGGGTCAGGAGCCGTTGCTTTAATACGAAGTTTCTGCTGCAAGGGAGTGGGGTTTTCTGGAAATAGGGTCCCGCCCCTGGTCTGGAGCATGGTGCTTCCCAACCCGCCTTTCTCTGAGCTTGGACACTTGCCACCTGCCAGAACAAGCTCCAGTGAGTAGCAGAGCGTTTTCCATCCCGGCTGCTCGGCCGGGACTTTCCCGCCCTGGCAGAATCCATGGAATGCCTTTGAAGCAGCTCTGCGTCTGCTTTGCCTTGCCCCGGCAGTGCAAAGGGGATGGAAATGGTACTGGAGATTGAGCCCAACGGACCCACCAAGTCCTTCCAGAAATAACAAGTGGTTGACCGTAGTTTAACTTGCGTTCAGTACTCAGTCCTTCATAATTGTCAGTGTCCTTTACAGAGGAGCTAAGCTCTATAGACAGAGAAATGGAATGCCAGAGAAGAGAAATGCTTTGCCAGAGGTTATGCTTGGTGTGGGTTTTTATTGTTGTTGGGTTTTGTTGGTTTTTTTTGTTGTTTTTTTTTTTTTTTTTTTTTTTTCATTGGCTTCTGCCTTGTGTTAGGATGTCCTGAGGGTTTTTTCAGAGTTGTAGTTGGCACTGCTTGTGCAGTCAGCAACGCTCGGAACTTTTGTCGACTGGATTTAGTGTTTACAAAAAGAAATCCGCAGGAAACTTTGAGGTTTTGATTGAAATTTTCGCCGTAATAAAGCCTTCCAGTGCTTTGTCTGGAGAACTTACTGTGTGAATATGCTGTTTGAGCAGATTACATTGTTGTTTGTTTGTTTGTTTGTTTGTTTGTTTTCTTGCTGGCCAGAGGAAATCTTTCAGCTTCACAGGGTATCATGAGAGTCTCTGACCCCGGTGCAGCAAGGGGCATGTGGGATTTCTGTGGACCTTAGAGAAGAATTGTGAAAATTGAGCCTTTTCTGCCAGCTTTTCCTCCAACTTCGGAACTTCCGCTAAAGCAAATAAATTACTTTTTTAGGCTTCTGTGATTTAGACGATACATAAACACAAAGGGATGCAGAAGGATTCTGGCCAGCTTGGCACGGTAGCTTATGGGTCCTCTCTTCAGTAGGGAGAGGAGGGGTGCCTGCGTGTCTGCGCATGTGTAAAGGCATATATTTCTATATCAATCCTGTGTTGCAACTCACTTGATAAAACTGTAGTGGAAACAAGCTGTAGTCATGACTTGTAAAAACAGCAGTGTCATTCCAGAAGTGTAAGTATCCTGTTTTTCAGACACAGCTGATTAGAAATAGAAAAACTGGCCCTTTTATTTCATCAGCTTAAGGATGGAATAACAGTCTAAAGGCAGCACTGCGAGTTGTTTCAGTGCTGATCATTCCTGGCAGAATTATCTCTTATCAGCAACTCAAAACCGCACATTTGGGATTGAAAACCTTTTATGCTTACTCCATGAACTTCTAAAGAGTTGTCTCTAAAGATAAAATTAGAAAGCTTGATAATTTAAGGGGTGGAGGAAAGCAAACAATTATTCTGGAATTAAGTATCATGGGAAATGATCAGTGACTTTACCTTTTAACAACTATTTTTGGTGGTTTTAAATATTTAAAAACTTACCTGCAGCTGCCACAATTCTCCGCTTGCCAGCACTGAAATGTTGCAGAAATAAGGCAGTCTGTGGGTGGGGACTGGGCTCTGGTTCATCTTCAAAGCAATTTCTGCTGGGAAACCTTGTTCTGATTCTAGGAGCTAGAAATGAAATGTGCTGCTGACATGCAGGGAAGAAGCTACATTTGCTTAAAAGTTCATTCTCCTTAGCGTTCACAGCAAAGTGTGTGGGGGCTTGTTTTTTCCAAGCGACCTTTTCAGGTGAGGTCCATTACTAACATCCCTTCTAAAATGGAAGTTCTCTTCCCCGCTGCCCGAAAACTGGGAGGCAGGTGGCACTGCGATTCAGCTGGTCAGGTGGAGTTAGCTGTCCAAAGTTATTAAATTGAGGTTTTCTTTAAATCTGGATCCATTAAAACGGCGCAATGATCTGAATGCTGAATTCAAATGAGGCAATTATTCTGGCAGTAAAACTTCTGACTAAGGCATAATTTTGTTATGTAAATTATAACTTTTCAACCTTAAATGGTATTGTTGGCTGAGCCAGAGACTAACTGAAACACAGGAGGAAATATAACCTTAAACGAGAAATCCGTAATAGGTGAGGCGTAACTCTACCCTTTGTCTTTCTCCATAGACCAGAAATAGCTGGGAGCAGCTGAACCAACTTTGCTGGCTAAACGTGTCCTCTGAGCACGTTGGGGTAACCAGTTTGGTCCTGTTCTCATCAGTAGAATACCTGGTCTCACCTCCGTTTGCAGCTTCTCTTAATGAAGGGTGTTGGAACGGATTGTCTTGCTGGATTCCTGAAAGCTTCTTGAAGAAAGCCTTTTAAAAACACGTTCAGCTCACCTTTCAGACACCCTGGCATGAAAGCTCATGAATGAAACTTGATCATCTGCTCCTAGCTCGGGAGATTTCAGCATGCAAACCAGCGTATTTAATTGTGTTCACCTCTTCTCCCCAGGGTACGGTGGTGGGCAGCCACTGGAGCTTTTCTCTCTGTCGTCTGAGAAGCTCCAAAATGCCCTCTGGATGGGGACGGGAGGGCTGCAGGCACTGTCCTTTGCACCGTGCCGCGGTGGTTTACCTGCTGCTCTTCTGGGCTGAGCACATTGGTGGCCTGATCCTGGTTAGCTATGAAGGGCCACCGAGAAGAGGCAGACCCCGTGGAAAATGAGGCCAAAGCAAACTAGAGCAGCCTTGATTTCCCATGCTCTTTTATTCATCTATTTCAGCACCCTGAAGTTCTATTTTTATCAAATTATTTTAATTTTTAGCATCCAACTGAGAAGACAAACAAAATAACTCGGTTGCATTTTGCAGAGGAGACTAAATTGGGAGGTGACCCAACTCCAGAAGAGCTGGAATTAGCATGCAGAAGGCATGGGGTGAGAATTAACCCCGGGACTAGGTAGGTGTATCTGCCGTAATGGGAGCTCTCTTAGCCCACAGTCTGTAGGTGAACTGCAGATGGTTTTAGCACTGGTTGAATAACGAGGCGATGATCTTTCTAGAAAATCAGGAGGGGAGGGAACATCGCAGCATTCTTTGCAGCATCTGCCTCCTGGCCTTCAAAGCACTGCGCAGGACCGAAGGGATCCCCCAGGTTTTACGCACACTCGTAGGAAGGTGAACTAAGCCCTACCTCCCCCAAACCTCTCTGCCCGCACCTCCCGTTCTATCTCCGGGGCCAGAAGGAGGAATGAAAACCTCGGGGGGGGGGAAAGCAGTGGTTAAGCAGCACGGCTGCTTCTAGTGCTGGAGGCTTCCTCTGCTCGGACGGGCGCTGGTGGTGCCTGGCTGCGCTGTTGCCCCCGCGTGTGTTGTGTTAGCAGCTGGAAGGGGAGCACCCGGCTCTCAAAACTTTCCCTCAGCTGCCTCGAGAGCTCTGGCTCTGCTCTCCATTCTGCCGTCGGTTCCTCTGGAGGCTCTGCAGCCCCGGCTGGTCCCCGGGCTGCAGCTCCACCTCGGTCACACATGTGCCGGCCCCACGGGTACCCTGGAGGTAGGTGCGTGTCCCGATGGCACGGCAGGGCAGAGCCCAGCCAGATTCTGCATCCGGCTGATCAAACCTGTCGTGTGTGAGAACTGCAGGTGTTACAGCTATAAATTTGTCCGGCTTTATAGGTGGTGTGGCTTGAGGTTTTTAATTAAAAGCTGGTTTTAGGCTAGAAAGGCAATACCGAAGCAACTGACTGGTGGCTGTCAGGGGAAACTATTCAGTGTCTGAATGTGTCTGTATCCGCTCGTGATAAATGTGGCATTGAACCTGCTGTTCCTGAACTAGCAAGCACGGATTATCCCCATTTCAAAAAGGAGGCCTTTTAACGTAACAATTCAAAGATTACCATGGAAACATAATCTATAGTTAGTTCTGTAATATGCTTATGTGATACTCCTGGGAGAAGAGCCTGAAGTCTCCTGATAATTGCATCCTATGTGGCAGTGCCCTGGGCTTTTGTGTTGATGAGCTTTGAATTGAAGATCGCTGTGAAGGTGTAACAGAAAGGAGGAGCTGAGTGCCTGGGACTGTTGCAGGAGCGGTGCTGCTGCTGTAAGTTCAGCAGCATCTAAGTGTCTCCTTCACAGCTCTTAAATTCTTATCCATAAAAACATGTCCTTGAAAGTGGTTCTTTCCAGCTGTACGTGATACTTCTGTCACTTTTGGGGGGGGGCATCTGATGTGCAGCAGAAAAACCCTTATGGGAAAGTACACCAGATTTGCCATTGTTGATACACTAAAGGATAGGTTTCATTTTGGGTAGTACTAGGAGATTAGATATCTGTTGGGATGTCTGATTAATAAAATTACACTTGCTACTTTGCCTTTTCAGCTTGAACTGCACTTTATCTACTGAAAAAAAAAAAAAATCTGTCTAGTAGCTAATGTCAAGATAAACCCACATGTGCCTTGCAACAGGATTATTAAGTGAATGGGCAGAAGGATGACTCTGACTCTTAGAATGAGCATCTAGCCATGGTTTGCACAATGGATAGAACTTACATGTTAGGATTCCTCCTTGCAACTTCCTGGAAACAGATTTCTCTTAACAGGAAGATCTCTGCTATCCTTAGGATTGTAATCCTGTCGCAGGATGTGAGTAGAAGTTCTCCAAGGGTGGGTGTTGCAGCCTTTTCCTTTTTCATGTGGTTCTGTCTGAGGTGTGGGCTGCTGGGTGTAGAGCAGGCGGCGTGCCGGTGCCTACTCTGGGCCACCTCCTCTAACCCCAGGCAGGCATATTTTGCAACTATAACGTCTTCCCTTTCTGTTTTTGTAGGGTTTCTGGTATGCACTTAAAGCCATATCTCAAGTTACAGAAGAAAGAGCGATCTCCAGAACTAAGTCAGGATTCCCTGAGAGGCCCACCTATGAGCCATCAGAGATCAGCACAGGAAGAAAAATACACCAACAACTGCACCAAACTGAGCGTTTACCCAAAACCCTCCATCGTGACTCCATCTCAAAAGCTCCTGGGGATTATTTATCCAAATACTATGTGCAATATGAATGGGAAAGGTCCAGCGGACGGTCCGAGTGCAAGGGAAAAGAAGAACGCCCTGTCTGCAACGATTCACCAGGGAGAAGAAGGGGAAGGGCCTCTGGATGTCTGGGCTGTGGTGAAACCTGGCAATACGAAGGAGAAGATCGCGTTCTTCGCAGCCCAGCAGTGCAGCAGCAACAACCGGCTCGGCTCCATGAAAATCAAAAGCGCGTGGGATATCGACGGAAGAACAGTTAAACGCAGGAAAAAACCGGTAGACCTCAAAAAAGCCAGAATTCAGCTGGAAAGAATGAGGGAGGCGAATGCCAGGTGCTCCCAGCCGGAGCCTTTCGCCTGCGGCATCGAGCACTGCTCGGTGCATTACGTGAACGACAGCGGTGAGGGCGTGTTCCCGGGCCGGTCCCTCTCGGTGATCGAGATGGTGGCTTTTCTGGAGCAACGAGCGAGTGCTTTACTGGTAGACTGTGCGAAAACCTGCGCGCCTGCTTCTGCGACGAGGCTGGGGGCTCAGCCTAAAGGCGGTGGTGTGCTCCCTGGCTCAGAGCCTTGCTCCCCCGCCGGGCCGGGCGAGGCGCCCGCCGAGAGGGGCCCTTGCGGCAGTAGCGAGCAGCAGGGCGAGCCTGTGCGGGTGCTGGACATGGTGGCCAAGCTGGAGTCGGAGTGCCTGAGGCGCCAGAGCGAGCGGGAGGCCGGGAGCCTCTCGCGCAACAACAGCTTCCGTCGAAACGTGGGGAGGGTGCTCCTGGCCAGCGGCACCCAGCCCGAGGGGGAGGTGGGGAAGGGCCCCGCGGGGGTCTTGGCGCCGGGGGATGGCTTGGAGGAGGCAGGGGTGGCAGAGGCTGGGTACGGAGGGCGTCGTGGTCCTCTGGGTGACGCCGAGTTGTGGGACGGCGCCGGCTCGGCTCGGCCGCCGTTCCCTTCTGGGCTGGATCCTCGGATGGGGAACGTGAATTCGGGACCTGCTCACGCCGTGTTGGCAATAACCGCCGGCAGGAGCGGTTCTGAAACGCGAACTGAGCCGCCCAGAGCTCTGCTGTCTGCTTGCCCAGCTGCTGCCAGGTTGCCGCAGGATTCCTTGCAGAGCAAGAACGTGACTGTTGATTGTGCGTTGAAAGAGCCGGTAATTTTCCCAAAGCAGAGTCAGCACCCTGCGAGGAAGGAGCCCTTATGCATCAGTATCTCGGTCACCAAGACTGAGAAAGGATGCAGGAAAGAGAAGCTCTTTCACTCCAGTTCTAGTGAAGACCCGCTCCCAGGGAGGCTGTTTTTTCTGCCGGCTGACCAGCCTGCTGCTCACGAGCAACAGCCGCTACAGGAAAGTAGCCGAGAAAAGCCAGGAGAAGCAGCCCAAAATGAGGACGAGGATGCTTTGGCACCTGACAGACCATGCGTCAGAAACGACGTCCCTGCAGAGCCATCTGCCCTTTCTGTGCCTCCGACAGAAGGGACTTTGCAAGTACTTGATGCTTCCTGCTTGAAAAGGCAGGTTTCGCATGACTTTCTGGAGACCAGGTTTAAAATTCAGCAGCTCTTGGAGCCTCAGCAGTATATGGCCTTCTTGCCTCACCACATCATCGTGAAGATCTTCGGATTGCTTCCTACTAGGAGTCTGGTTGCCCTAAAATGCACTTGCTACTACTTCAAATTCATCATCGAATACTACAACATCAGGCCAGCGGACTCCCGCTGGGTCCGCGATCCCCGCTACAGAGAAGACCCTTGCAAGCAGTGCAAGAAGAAGTACGTGAAAGGCGACGTATCACTGTGCCGGTGGCACCCCAAACCATACTGTCAAGCTTTACCCTACGGGCCTGGGTACTGGATGTGCTGCCACCGGTCTCAGAAGGGCATCCCGGGCTGTAAGTTAGGTCTCCATGACAATCATTGGGTTCCTGCCTGCCACAGCTTTAACCGTGCTATTCATAAGAAAAGCAGAGGAGGAGGAGCAGAAGTGGAAGAGGAATACTAGTGCACATACACTTTCCTGCGAGATTGTCTGGGGGAGGAGGAGGAGATAGATTCTCATGCCTTGTGCTGTTTACAGTGTATATAATTGTCGTGGTTTTTTTTCACAGGGCTATGAAACTGCACATACTTAAACACAAGAGCCTTTACCTTTTAGATTAAAGATAGCTTTTAGTCCATCGATGTAAATAACACTATAAAAACTAATTGTACATACAGAGTCTACAGCTGGCTGAACAACGTAATCACTACAATGCAGCTATGATAGTGTTGCGGCTATAGTTTTGTGTGTTTTTAAGTGTCTCGTTTCAAAATCTGTATATCCTGTATAATATATGAATGTTTCTGAGAAGAAACTCTAAATAGGTAAAGGTCAACTTGTTTAAAGAATCTTCAGACAACTTAACTGGACAACCTTAAAATTAGACTAGGACAGATCCATTATAGTAGTGTGGCAGTGGATAAAAAGAGAAATATTATTGTATAGTCAGAATATAAAAAAAATCTTGTCTACCTTACCCATGTTGTCTTTTTTTTTTTTTTTTTTTTTTTTTACTTAAATAAAATGTGCATTCTAGATCTGCCTTACCCGACTTTCTCTTGTAAGACTTTTGCCCCAAAATAAAAATACTGTAAAACACGTGGCAGAAACTTGGTACTGTGATGTAGTTGAGATGTGCAGTGTGCTTCCTCTACAAACCTAATTCTCCTACTAAAAAAAGAAACAAACAAAAAAAAACCCAACCCAGACCTCTAGTATTTCACCAATTCCAGGTTTTCCTCTCCCTCCACTCAGCTGTGTGTGCAGCCGAGGCTTGACAGGGATTTTTGGTGTCTAGAAAGTCGGTGCTAGGTCTGTAAAACTTGCAAAAAAGGGGGACTTTCTGCTTCTGCGCTCTTGGCTCAGCGCCTCGCCTCTGCCTTGCGTGCTCAAGGATGGATTGCCTTGGCTCAGCCGTGTGCTGGAAGCTTTGCTGCCCGCTGCTTGGGGAATTTTTCCCTTCTAAGAGGACTCCTTGCCCTGCTCCGCTCTGCTCCAGCCTGTGCCCTCTGGTTCCTGAGGTGCGGGTCGGGGCGTTCGGCTAATTCCTCCAGCTCTTCCTGGGACCCAAGCGCGGCATCTCCTCCAGGATTTCCCCGAACGCATTCCTCTCCTGCAGGGCTGGGGTCCTGCTCTCCTCACGCCCAGCTCCGCTGCCCGAGGGCGATCAGCTGGGAAGTTTGGAATTGTACCCTGGGTCCCCCCTGCCCCAGCAGCCGCGTTCGGGTCCTGGGAGCAGCACCCGCCAACCCTTGCGGGCTCTGGCCTTTCGTGCTGTTGCTCTTTCTCTGCCCCTTTTTCCAGGATGAGGATGGGCTCCTGGTGATGGCTGCGGCTGGAGCGAACGGAACCTCTGGCCTGGTGCGAGAAGAGCTGGGGTCCCACCCCCGGGGGGGGGACACCTCCTCTGCCTCCCCCCGCCCCCCCAACCCCCAGGGGAGCGCCTGGGGCCGGACCGGGGCTCTCAGGGAGAGCAGAGGCTGACTGACCCAGCTCGTTCCGTTTGTGAGGAAAGCTGGTGGCTGGGGGGGGGGGGGCCAGGCTGAACCCCCCTCCCTCTGCTTTGCGTGCCTAGAACCGCGGCGGTGCTGCTCAGAGGGAGTTGGAGGACAGAGAAGGCTTGAAGGTGGACGCTTTTATTCTCCCTGTTAGCAGCAAGAGAAAGAAAACAGCCCTTACGGCCTGAAATGGGGGTTTGGTAAGCGCAGATTGTTCACAGTAAATTTAAAAGGGCTGTTTTGGTTTGCTTTGTTTTGTTTTTTTTCCCAGTCCCTGCTTTACCTGCTGCCTGCCACCCCAGGCGCCAGGCTCCCCTCCCTGCTGCTGCTCCGCCATCTCTGCAGTGCAGCAGACATTATGACAACCAGGAGGAATGAAATTAGAAATCTGAAAGGAGGGTGCGGCTGCCTTGTAATCAGCTGTGAAGAGGGAGAGGGAAAGCAGGATCCCTCATTAATTTGTGACTTCATTCTGTAACGGGGCGCAGGCTTCACCCAAGCTTCGATCTGCTCCGGCGGCTGCGCTGGGATGAGCCGCAAAACAACTTTCTGGCAGGAGTGGTCTTGCCAAAGCCATCGGCATCAAAGGCCTCCAGTTCAATTTCAATTAAGGAAGAGGGGGAAGAAACTGCTTTCCTGCCCCCCACCCAAGGCTCTGGAAAACTTGAGATAACTCGCACCAGGCTGACAGCGGCGAGGAAAGTCCCTGCAAGGCTGAAATAGAAGCAGTGGAGGAAAATATTTTGTAACTAGATAAGGGGCCAGTGAGGTAATTATTTTTGGAACATGGTATGAGATTTTGGTCACCTTTATTGAACGAGAGGAAAAATTAGAATAAAGTAATAGCTTTGGGCTATTCTGTTCCTTGGAGCAGTTAAATAGGGAGGACAAGTTGCTCTTTACCCTATCCCCGCCCTCCCCCCAGGCTGGCTGAGGAAGGAGGGCTGGTTTATACATCATTTACAACATTGTTTGCAGAAGCTATCCCTGTCGCACAGCACTGCTGTTTGTTAGAAATTGTTTTACAGAACAAACTTCTGTGCCCAGAAGCGGGTTGGTTTTGAATGTTGCTAGGCTGAGCTGCCTGCAAGCTTTTTTTTCCCATGAAGTAGTAAAGTGCAGATTTCTGTTTCTTTAAGGGCCCGTTCAGGGAGAACCCAGGGTCTGATGAACTTTCTTCTAAGAGGCAATTAAAAAGCGGCCGGCGTGCGGATTTACAAAAATCAGTGTTCAGAAGAACCGAGGACCAAAGACCGTGCTGCGCACTCGACTTCCCTGCCTGGGAGCGGTTGGAGGGTCTGGACTGAATTTCCAGATACGCCTGTGAAGAAAGCGTAGTAACGTTTCCCTTGTTTGTAAGCTTCCAGTTTTCATCGAGCTCTGGGGGCTCCTGGCACGGACGCCACTGAAATAAAAGCAGCCCGGGGCTGAGGCTGGTGTCCGGGCTCTCGCTCCATCCCGCCCGTTTCCGCAGCAGCCTCTCCTCTCCCCTCCGCTGCGGCTCTGCGAGGCTGGCGCAGAGCTCAGCGCCCCGGCCCCGCTTTCTGCAGCTCCTGCCCCTGGGACTGCCGTTTCACACCGATGCACCCGGCTGCAGTCCTGCTTCTTCCAAGGTGGGGATGGTGCTGGAGCTTCACTCGGGGCTCTTTCTCCTCCCCCGGGGCAGCCCTGGAGGGGGGGACAGGACTGGGGGGCACTACGGGGCCGCCCTCCTGCCACAAACCCACCTTGGCAGAGGATGGAACCTCCTGCTGACAGCACTGCTTAAGCAGAAGTGACCCAAGCGCCGGCCTGAGCCTGAGCTGAGCTTGGAGCCAGGCTCGGCTTTGCGCACAGGCTGCTTTCCTGGGGGGCCCTGACCCAGGCAGCAAACTGCCCCCCACTCCGCGGGCAGCAGCCCCAGGCTCTTGGCAGTGCAGCAGGTAGAAGGCCCGGGGGGGCATCAGTCCTCCCCCTCGGGTAGCTGCCACAAAAAAAAAAAATTAAAATTGGGATGGGCTGTTTCTCCAGCAGTAGCCCAGGGCCTCCGAGGCTGCCGGCTCCCACGGGCAGAGCTTGCCTCTCGGTGACAAACACGGCCCCTTCCCACCCCTGTTGCTCACACAACGCTTCGCTTTGTTACCTCCTCCAAAAGACACACGCTCGTGTCCTCCTGAAATGACCTTGGAAAGAGGAGCGTTGTCCCTTGCACGCAGAAGGAATTCCGAGGCCCAGCATCTGCAGACACAAACGTCACCCAGCAGAGGAGCAGTTCAAAGCCAGGCGTGCGCGAGAGATTTATCTGTTTACATGTACATACAGGGACACGTGTGTGTGTGTGTGTGTTCTGCAGGACCCCTGTGCCTGCTCCAAGGGAGATGCAGTTATTTTATGTAAGAGTCTTTTTTTAGAATGGGTATTGCTTATTTGACAACTGTACGATTGCACTGTAACAGGTCTGGTCCCCGTGATGCTTCAAAGGCTGGAAATTCTTGTGTGCTGCCTCAGCATGGTTAAAAACAAACCACACAGAAATACCAATTATAAATATACAACTTTAAAAAAAATTACTGTTAAAGATTTATTGCAATAATACAATAAAATTTAGAAAAAAAAAAAAAACAACGAAAAAACACATTTGTGTTTAGTTACATCTAGTTCGGAAGTTGCAGAGAGAGGCCCCGAGTTTTTGCAGGTGGCAAGCAACCCTTGGGTGTCCCCCCCCCCGGGACCCTCCAAAGGGACCCGATTTTCAGCGGGGGGCTGGGCTCCGGCCGCCACCCCAGGTCACTGCTCACAAACAAAAGTCACGGCCTAAACTGAAATTCCCACGTTCACGCTACGCAAAGTGTTCTGTAAACTCTCAGCCGGCTGTCTTCAAATATCTACAGTTACAGATACTCCTGCCCTCCCTCCCCTGCCCCCAAAACAACCTGGAAAACTAATCCTGGCAATTGCACTCAAGGTTTGGACACACGCAATTCTTCCTTAGCTACACCTGTGCAAAACACTTTAAAAAATAAAAACAAAATGTATTCTGTTACAAACACATTTTGTGAAAAGACCTATCCCAGTGCATTTTAACACCCTCGCAGTGCTCTTGTGCACTTTCAGAATATGACATGGTTACAAATAAATTATTTGGAAAACATGATGAAGTATATGGCTTAAAAAGGTTTTTTTTTGTGTTGTTTTTTCTTTCCCTAAGTAAGTAAATGACGGCGTACGAAGCGGAATCATGGCCTGACCTTTAGGGGTTCAAAGTAGCACAAAGGCAGCAATGAAAGAGTGACTGAAATGCGTATTTAAAAAAAAAAAAAAGGAAGAGAAGATATTTCTATGGTGGGGTCCAGTGCAAAATAAACGGGGGACCAGAAGGGGCCGCGCCACGCTAAGAGCCCAACATACAGCCCCGGTATGTGCTGGTCGCTCAGAATCGCAAAGGATCCGAGAGCTGCAGGTGAGTAAAGTGCCATGAACTGAACAGTGACCAACCCCTCCCGGCCCCGGCCCCGGCCCCGCTCGCTGCTGGGGGCGCCGGGGGGCACCGGCCCCATTCAGGCCGCAGTAGTCAAGGGGGTCTGGGCTGTTCTCTTCAACCCAACTATGGGATGTAGACCAAAAGAACGGCAGGATTGAGGCGGGGGGGTCTTCATCTAACAGTGTGTGTGCTGTTAGTGCGGAGTCAAGGGTCTTTGGTTTGGAAAAAAAAAAAAAAAAAAAAAAAAGAAAAGTTAAGAAAGTATTGACAGCAGATGCCCGTCCCCAAGGCCAAAAAGCTGCTGAACGGGGGGGGGGGGGGGCTGGGAGCTGTGCTGGGAGCCAGCCCCGCAGCTGGAGGACGTGGCTGGCGCATCGCTCCCCGCGGGGAGGTGGGACAGAAACCTCCCCTCGTGGAGGGACCGGAGGATGCTTTTACCTTAGTCTAGCACAGTGTCCCAGCTGCGTGAAAGGTAAACCAGACCTCGGAAGCCTCACTGAGCAAACCCATCTTTAAGTAATACACCCCGCCAGGCGGGCAAACGCATCCGTCAGCCTCGCACCTTCTGTGGGTTGTACAAGCGAGGCAGCTGCGCTGTGAGCATTATCTGCAGGGAAATGAAATCAACTTCTTGGCATTCAGTAAGCAAGGGGAAAAAAAAAAAACCAAACAACCAAAAAAAAAACAAAACACCAAAACAAACCCACCATAAACATAAAATAGAACAGGGTTCGAAACGCATGGAGCCTGGAGACTGTGTGACTTCACTGAACCAGCTCGAAATGAGGTTTTTGTAATATTAAAAAGTGGCAACATGGTGTCGTAACCAATTATTGCAACAACGCAATCCTGTATCAGCATCAAATGTGGGTCTAGCTAAGAGAACGTCCAGTGTTTCTTTGGTGTATGATATTAAAAGAGCCTGCGTGCTTTCGGCAGCACAACACGGAACTTCTAGACTACCTGCCGGTGGAAACAGCATGAAACAAGCCAGTTTTCTATGGCAAAACTGGGTAAAGATTCACAACCACATCTAAAATAAGAGCAATTTGCCATGTGAATTCCTGTCCATGCTGATTCTTTGTATTAAAAATATGGCAACAGAGATTAGAAAACATGTTAAAAATGCATAATTTTCATGTCCTGAATGAAAAAAATTTAGAAATACGCATTTTTGCGTTATGCAAGACAGATTTAAAACACACACGAACAAAAACCCTGTGAGGAGTTAAGAACATGGAGAACTGCACTTGCACCACGCTCCAGCCTGCCCACTGAGCAGTCTTCTCCCTGCACTCATCCCGATCCAAACGCTCCAAAAAAATCTGTTTCTTCTTTAGGAAGTAGAGCTGGAGGCTGCTGGGTCCTTTTGCTTGGATACTCAGCAATGCAGCCAGAACCGAGACACAAAGTGCCGGCACAGAATCCCTCAGGAGTACGTAGCGAGCTAATTTACAAAACGTTACCGTCACAGTCATCTTGGGTAAATAAAAAGGTTTTTCTGGTTTACAAAACGGAAGTCTGACCTTTTCTTTGTTCCAGGCACTACTTAACTGAATAGGTAAAGGTTTACTACAGCATTGTCGGGGAGGGATTCCTTCCTTCCACAAATCCTACGATCCCTTTCTTCCCCTGCTCGTTAGCGATGTCCAGTGTAGGCCTTCAGCCACGAGGTCACCGAGGCGGCAGCGGACGAGATCATTCCCCCCGCGCTGCTGCTGGCAATGGGCTGAGACACCTGCGTGCTCTGGCTCTGCAGCATCTCCACCTGCTGAGAGGGGATATCGCAGAACCTGGGGCTCGGCAGATTCTCCCAGTCTGTCCCGAGGTCTGTCTCTTCATCGCTGACGTGCTCGTCTCCGCTCTCATCTGTTTCGCCGGTGGCGCTGGGATCCACGAACTCCATGGAGTCTTCGAGATCAGCACTGATTTCGAAAGGGCCAGACCTGTGAGCACGGACACAACCGCCGTCAGCCCGCTCGGTACCGCGCAGGGGAGGGACCGTCCCTTCCCTGGTACGAGCCCTAGGCGCGCCAAAGCACCCTGCTCGGTCACGCGTACAGCAGAGGCACGGAAACACCTCTGTGTTTATCAGCTGGCAGAGAGAAACTCGCTGCCTACAGAGATAACTGTATTCTGACAAGGGAGAAAAGAAAACAGTTGGCCAAGGAAGCGATAGCTGGGTTCCGAACCAGGGAGCAGGAACGGCGGAGCAGCTGTTCCGCTTTGGCGGCGGACGGTGAAACTTGTTCCCCCAACAGAAAAAGCTACTGATAATAACGCACGGCTCCGCTGGTGGAAATCTCAGCTTCATGTGGGGAACAGGTTTTATTTTGGTCGCTGGCCCTGGCCAGGCCCTGACGGCTGCAGCTCTGTCGGCGAGGGGAAGGGTGTAGTTTACAACTTACGGAGCTGGGTCGGGCACAACTCGCTAGTGGAGGCTTCCCACAGCAGCGCTTCACCCCGAGCAATATCTCAACACCTTTTTTACCCCGCGGCTGGTCAAACACTGGAACCCGTTGCCCAGAGATGCTGTGGAGCCCCCACTGGAGACACTCAAAACCCCACCGGCCACCCGTCCTGAGTAACTTGGTCTAGTTGGCTCCGCTCTGAGTGGGGCGATGAGCCCCAGTCCTGCCCAAACCCACCTGCGTGTGACTCCGACTTCCCCGCTGCCACTGCCCGGCGGGAGAAGCAAGTGCATCCCACCCCATCCCACCCCATCCCACCCCATCCCACCCCATCGCGCCAGAGCGCCGGCGGCCAACACCTGAAACACCTTTCCTGAGCCAAAGCAGGTGGTTTCGGAGGCGGCAAAAGGTGGATTCCCCACAGCAAGCAGCGTCCCTGCCAAAGTTCACTCAGTGAAACAGGAGCAAGAATTTGACACGGGTAAGAGTGTTTCTCCAGCCCTACTGGGAGAAGCAGCCTGAAGCAGCGATTTAGCGTGGGAAATTGTAAGGCAAAGAATTAAAGCTAGGTAAAATGGTAGGTATCTAAAAACAGTAGCTTATAAAGGAGACTATCGGGCAACTATAGGGCTAGATATCTAAGGGAAAATAAAAGCAAGCTGCTTGCTGCAAATTTTGCAGACAGCTGAGAAACTGAAGGTAAACACTCCTCTTTCATAATCCGGAAAGGAACGGGAGCGCTGCCTTTTGGCAAAGCATTTTGCTTAACAAGGCAACATGTGAAGAGAGTCATCGGGTTTAAGGCCAGAAGGGACCATTAGATCATCTCAAGTGACCTCCTCTATAACAAAGGCCATTACGTTCCACCCGCTTTCCCTGTCCTGAGCCCAGTAACATCTGCCTGACGAAAGCATTCATCCCAGAAACTCATCCAGCCTTGACAGGATGACATAAGGAAACAGAGACTCCCCACCTTCATTCCTGCAGGTAATTAATCTTTGTGTTAAGCGCATGTGCCTCATTTCAACCCAGCTCAGACTCTGCTTCCAGTGGTGTCTAGAAAGCCATTCAGTAGCCTGTATTTTCTCCCCATGCAGGCGTGGAAATGAAGTCATCTCTCAATCTCATCTCTAGCGAGCTAAAACAGTTTTACAGAGGCTAAACCGTGCCCCTCACTGGTAGGTATTTTCTCCAACTGTTTCCCGTAACCTCCTCTTTTACTATGTGGTCCTGACTGATGCCTGTGGAGCTCTAACATCTGCACAGTGAGACCTGCTGTAGCCTCTGGAGCTTTCACAGCAGCTGCTTTCCAGGACACAGTTCTTCATTCTCTGGGTATTTCCTGCGCTCTCCTTGTTTTCAGGCAAGCAGCAGCAAGCACAAAATTTTTTCAAAGTTGTTACAAAGATTTGGCTCCCCATATCTTTGGGCTGAATCAGTAGGGATATACCCGAAGAACACAAGGTAAGTGGTTAGAGGCATGCATTCAGTTCCTCTTAGTGGCACTGCAGGTTTTTTAATAAAACTAGATATGTACACGAGAACAAAATGGAAAAGTAGATTTCAGACCATTAATGTGTTTGAGAGGGAATAAAGCACTAGTCAGATGAAGCAAATATTTGCAAACTGTCTCAGGCACAAGTGACTTGTGACTGAATTATCCCAACAGGAAATCAATGTTGTTGGCTTTCTTGTATTTAAGTTGTTAAGAAAAAAAAAAAGAAGATTATTAAACCTGGTGCGTGCAGCCCACAGGAACTGATATTCTCTTCATCACCTACTAAGTTAACAGAAAAGTTGTCTCTAATCTTAATTTAAATATAAATTAATATCATTTGAAGTGTTGACTTTGGTCTATGGTTTTCATTGACTGGAAGTATTTTGGGAAAGGGTTACCTGGTATTCATTTTAGGGTTTATATTGCTGGATGCTCTTAGGCATTTACATGTTGGCAAGATGTGGGCAGGGTCATATCTGGAGCGCAGGGAGACTGCCTGGCATATGTGTTGCTGAGCCATGGAGGGAAGGAGTTCCTGCTTCTGGGTGTAGGGAAGCAAATCCATAATCAGCTACAAAGCCTCCAGCTGAGCCTGCCATATGCAGAAGCACAGCATACACACATCTCTGAAATCTAATTTCCTACTCAGGACCCCCTTTTTCTGTCCTCTCGTCTCCTCCTTGTGACTACCCTGATTTCTGACGTGCTGAGGACTGATCAATAGGTACAGCAGAAGAAAAGAATTTCCCTCCTAAGTAACAAGGCAAATGCGTAACTTCAAAAGGGATTCAGTCACAGGTGAGTTGAGATACTGCTTTTCTTACCTGCCCAAGTTCTCAGTGTCTGGGCTGACCAGGTACATAAGGTTCCTGAGCGTATGCAGTGGGTGCAACAGATCTAAATTTACATGCTACCGTAGGGAAGGTAAGAAAAAGACATGATCAGTTACTGGAGGAAACCTGCAGGCACAGTTGCTATTTTCAAAGCTATTTAAAGAATCCAGATGTGTATTCCCCCTACCTGAGAGAAGCAAAGGTGAAGGATATTAGCATTCAGCTTCTTCACTGCCCGTGTGAACCTGTGTCTGCTGAGATTCTCTCCACAGAACTCGCTGTTGAAACACAATACACACACACACACATATACATATATATATAAAGCAAAATGCTGTGAAAATACACCTGCTGGAGGCATCAGCATTCCGTGCCCTGGCTTCCTAACAAATCCCAGAGTAAACATCCTCACAGCGAGCACTTGTTTAAACAGCACAGCCAGTTTTACACGGCTTAGGAGATTAATTTTTCACCTACCAAGACTGTTAGCATTTCATCAGCAAGCACTGCTTCCCTTGTCTCACCGGTTTCAACAGGACAGGTGACGTAAACTGTACAAAACTCAAAGACCCACTGTAGCCAAGCTATTTCGGCTCTCCTTTTAAATCTTGCATAATGTCCTGTTCCTTTCCTTCTGTGAAGACTGAGCACCCAAATAACAGTATACAAAAAGCCTGCAGAGACCCTACACAACTTTTGTGCCTTCACTTCGGCAGCCATTATTTTAAACGCTTGAAAGAACCTCAGCAACGTATCTGAGACCCCTGGAAGACTGAGCAGGTCTACAGCTCCCTCAGTACAGATCCCATCTGCTCCACATAGACATTAAAAACCTAACAGTGCTTTTGATTGCAAATGGGGTTTACACAATACGCTCCCAGACGTCTGGCAACCAGGTACGTTCCCCACTGGTGTTTTATCCTAAAGAGAATTACATTGCTGTCATGCCATATTATAAAGCCTCGTTCTACAGCACTTGATGTAGCGGTGCTATTCAAGATGACTAAGAGTTGCTGAATTGGGCTGGGATTTTGTAAAGCACGGTAGGGTCTCGTAAAATGAAGAGTGCTATTCACGGACTGTCATATTTCGTTTCTAATTTGAGGCTGCTGAATACGTCAATTAGAAAGCTGTTAGCTTCAACTACGATGGTTGGTCTACACTCTCAGGAGGTAAAAAAGGAAGGAGGGACTCTTGACTGTGGTCTAAAATCCTACTAGCCCTCCACCCAGAATTAACCAGCACAAAAATCCACGAGCCAACCACCGTTACCATAAAAGCTGTTCCAAGTAATGACTTTGCTCCCAAAGCCAAACTGAATTACGATCAGTCAAAATTGGTCACTGATTCACCTCCTCAGAGGCTTGCATTTACTTGCCTGTTGCAGAGCTTCTTGGGCAGGTTTACATCAAGTATGAGAGACAAAGTGTTAACAAGCTGGGTTGCATAGCACAATGCAGCACTGATGGTATAAGCAGGGTTATTATGTTCCATATCTGAAAGAAATGCAAACATCATGAAAGTCTCATTTTAAATGAAGCCTCGGTGGGTGTGTTAATGTGTTCCTGAAGTCTACTCTGGAAAATGTCATTTCTCAGTATTGAGAACAGCCTGAATCCAGCAATCACGTACAGTGAAATCTGTCAGAAGTTGGTAGAAAATAGTAATTCTTGGAATTCCTCTTAAAACGATGGCATGTGAACCATGTCAAAACTGTGAATAATTAACTTTACCTCTCTGTTACATTGCACTGGGTCTCAGTGAGCATTTCCTGCAAAAGAGGATTTCAGTGGACTAATCCCGATACCGGTATTTATTTCTGACTCTGGTTTGCCTGGGTGAGAACAGACAGGCCGGGCTACTGCTCTTCAGTGCCTTCTGTTGGCATCCAAGGCTGCCAGTTCTACAGCTTCTGGAGTGTCCCAGATGCCTACTCAGACCTTGCTCCTTACCTGGTCCTTGTGTAGTCTTCTTCTCTTCCACCCAGTTGTAATACGCCGAATAGTCTCCGTTATTAGGAAGGGTTATCCAAGGCCCTGTGATGCTGATGCTGGTGTCCCCGTTATGATCATCACACACCCATCTCCCAGAGAGATACGTGGTTCTCCTGGCTTCCGCGAGCTTGCTCACAGTGCTAGAGGTCATAGCATTGTCACTCTCAGAAGACACATCTGCAGGATCTCTGTAACACCCAAAAAGGAACAGAGTGTTTTTAAAGAAGTTTTAAAAATATAAATCAGAGATGCGCTCGGCAGGCACTTAGCCAGATTTCACAGAGAGCAACACGCTTGCAGAAACACTCCTGCAGAACTCCTTATTCCCAAAACTACTTTCCTCTGTTCTGGGATTTTTAATTATCTATTTTAAGAAGTTTAACTTTGGAAACACACCTCAGGTCTCTTAGTGGGGAGATGCTAGCGCCTCCCGATTCTTCTCTTCTGGATCTCTATCTTTGGGTCAGATGCTTTGCCTTTGGCAAACACCTCCTCCTTCCCACAGATGCTAAGGGAGTCAGAGCGTCTAGCTCAGACTTACATGACTCACTTCTGGGTGTCTAAAGCTAAGCAAAACGAGTCCAAAAGAATAAGCCTCCTGTACCTCATGCTTGTCTTTACTTCTTCAATGGGAAATATGACTGATGTTAGCTCCAGGATATGCGTCCGACGAAGATTTGCCAGATGCTCATACTGGGTTTTCAAGTCATAGGTTTTTTTCTCCACCAAGTCTCCCAGCTTGCGGTTATGCCTCTGGATCTTCTCTTTCTTCTCCTGATGCCGCTGAGCCCTGCGATAATGCTTCTGGTTCTCCTCTTTAATTCTCAGAAGCCCCTCGGCATCTGTGAAAGCAGCAGATGTTAGCCTTGGGAAAGGAGCTGTGAGGTACTTGTAGTGAGCCTGAGAAAACCATTATTAATATCTATAGAAAACAAGATCTATAGCCCCTTAAAACAGAAAACCCTGCTAAACTATTAACATTTTTCCAGCTGCTAAGTGATACAACTTTTTAATCTTTTCTGAAGATCTCTGAAGAGACTGAAATTGGGATTAATTTTCCCCTATCTTTTACTCAGCTATTTTTGGGTTTGGAGCTGAAAAGCCAAGATTTCACAGTTTAATTAAACTTCTGAGGTAATCATCATGACAGAAATAGCTTGACTGTACACGTTTGCATGGTGCTGGCCAAAAAGACATGCATTGCTTGCAGCCAAAATCAAGTGCAGATAACATCTTCCTTCACCACTTCTGGCACCACTGCTGCTATTAGTGTGTGTTACTTGGGCTTTGCGCTCACGTATGTGCTCTTAGAGCACTTGGATCACAATGGTGCAGCCTTCTCAGTTACCACGAGGGAACACTGCCCATCTCCCTTTCCAGTCACAAAATGAAGAATGTGCTTGTGTACTGAAGTGCTGCAACTGCCTGAATTTACTATATGTGTCAGGCACACTGAGGCTCGGAAAAAATATCCTTCAAGAGCATCTGCTGACTCTCCTATGAAATAATTGACTGCAGTAATGCTTCTACAAACAGATGGTGCTAAAGATGGTGAGTTAGCCACCTCTGTCTTTCAAAAGCATAGGAAAACATTTCTTATACACACTCTCCAAACCCGTGTCTCGAACTCTTAATGTACCCTGGTTTGAATGAGAGCCCCCATCTACTAGTCACTCCCTTCCCATTTTTATGGCTGAAAAGAAACAGTGTCAGTCAAGTGCTCTTACAGCACGGCATCGCTCTCCTGTAATCAAGAAGTGGGATAACTGTCCCTTGCACAGAAGGGAAGCACTAAGCCCTGACATCGTTTTACTGATATATTTTGATTGCAAGGCACAGATGAGACCGGAGCTACAGTAAGAATGCTCTGTGGCATCTGCTACCCAGAATTACATACTACTATAACCAGCAAAACCTCTAAGCAGCTATACCCACCTCAAACACCACATTCAGATCGCCAGTCTTCCCAATAGGGGAGCACAAAAATTCAAGGCCACATGCAAAGAACGGGATCCCAGACCGACTCCCACCCCGCGGGTCTGCGCCAGCCACGCTCAGCGAACACACAAAACCCTCCGGCTAGTCCTGGTTTGCACCTGCAGAGCTGGAACCGCACAGACCTCCGGCTGGTCCCTGCTCTGTCAGGGTGGGAGGCCAGGACTGCTGGTACCCCCCAGCGTGCCTGTCCCCACAGACACTGAGCATGCTTTCTCTGAACGTTGGGAATTCGTTCTAGTCCTCTAACTGACGTGTCACGATCCACGATGTGTTTGGTAGGAGGGAAGGTCTGATGCATGGGAGGTGCAAAGTCCCAGATTAAAGAAGGTGAGACGTTTCCCCGTGCAGATAAGAACTAATAATCCTCAGGTTTATAAAACAAGTGACCCCCTGTTAGAGGAACCATAGAAAAATCGACTTTTCTCTGAGCAATACCAAGAATCCCTACGTGTCAGCTAGTAATTCAGTTTCCTTTAAGCATTCCTGTAACATCAACAGAAAAATCAATTAATGCTTGCATTCATACTCCCAAACTCTCCCTATGCATAAAGAGTAAGAGACAGAGGAGGAATAAAATGTCCATCTGTTCAATTTTCACATTTCTGTTGTACTTTAAAAGCTACTTTTTCATGAAATGAACTCCCTTTTCTGAAGGTCCAACAGCAATTATTTAAGAAGCAGGCGAGAACACAACACTGTACACACGTTTCCTCATTAGCAGTCTCAGTGTGGAAACAACTGTCCTTTTTCTGGCATAGCACCTCTGCTTTATGACCCAGTTTATGAGGTGATTAAAATTTGTTCCCAGAAGTATTTCAGGACACCACTATATCCCACATTGCCTGATAAATACAAGCACAGGCACACCGATCTCTGCCCAACACAGAGCTATGCTAGATATTTGCAAGACTGTCTCCTTGAACTGTTCTCCACAGACATAAGGTAAACACACATATTTTAAAACCTTATTTTAAGCAGCACCCATTATTGAGGTACCTAGTCAACTGCAAAAGCAGAAGCCTGATGTTTAAGAAATTGTTCTTTCAGAAAACTAAACTATGCCATATGCAGAAGAGAAACAACCTTCTACATTTTCTATTATGGTCCAAGAGTAAACCAAGTTGGGTTCCTGATCTACTGGCTACCCAGGGCAAGAGTTCATTCTGGGTCTATCTGCAAGAGCAATTTTGGGGTAATTGAGCTAACGACAGGTCAGCTGGGCAATAGTTAGGCCAGTTCATGGGTGAAATCTAATCAAGTTCACTGTGAATCAGAGAAGTTGCAAAAGCTGCAGGTAATACACTTTGCAGAATAGTAGATAAGTGGAGGAATTCCATTCCCCAATTGGTCCTAGCATTTTGCCACCTTAAGAGCTGCATTTTGAGAACAGGTGACTAAGTTCCTCAGAGTAATGTTGACTTCCTCTTCTCCTTTCTCCATAGGCTAAAGAAAAAATGAATTATCTCCTTCATAATAATCCTGCCTATGGAAAAGCTTGCTTTTCTTCACCTTCCTCTTCTCTAAACCAAACTGAACATCAATTTTCTAGCCATTCCTTGTGTTTAATTCCTAATATTCTCTTCCAGACTTTCTCCATTTGATTTGTATCTTTCTTAAATTGCTCAAATTGGACACCAGACTTCCACTGAGGCAACATCAATGCTGGGCATAGCGGGACAATTCCTTCCATCTTAAATACAACACTTACGTTGGTATAACCTGGAGTGAGGTCTGAACCTTTCTGGAGCAGAATAAGGTGGATAATTTTATTTAATTTGCAATTCTCCAGATCCTGTCCTGTCAAATCTCACCACCTTTGGTTTTTATGTATCTCTTTCCTAAACAATATGCACTTGACTTTGTCCTTTTCAGATTATATTGTCAGTTTACCTGCATGACTTTGAATTTGATCCTTTTCTCCACAGAAGTCATATCATCATCCCCCTTGGCTTCCTCCATTCCACCTTCCTATTCTACCATGTAAGCGATTATGGAAAATATTGAACAAAACTGGGCCAGGAACCGGCTCCTGCTGAGCTCCACCTGTCTCACCTCCTCGGTTTGACAAGTATCACCACTCTTTGACTGCAGCCTTTCTAGCCTTTCGTGTCAACCTCACAGCGATTACTCCCAGAGCAAACATCTTTGCTTGCTCATGAGACAGTCTGGGGTAGCGCCCAAAGGCAAGGCATGTTGCATCTTCTGCTTCATGCTCCGCTTGACCCCCAGACAAGGGGTTGATTTGACATGGCCTATTCTTAACAGTGATGACTATTTTTAATTACCTTATCTTCTAGCTACCTGCAAAGTGGCCAGAGGATTATAATAGGATGACTGTGTCATCAGTTTAAGGTTCTGCCTTCCTCCAGCCTTTGAAAACAGATACTGTTTTCACTCTGTTTCCTGGGACATCCTCTCTCCCTCATGTGTTCTCAAGTGCTCCACAGACTACTTCAGCTTGTTCCTTCAGTTCCCTAAGGTGAATCTCATAAGGCCTTGTGCTGACATAATCAAAATAATATTTAGCTGGCTCTTTTCTTTCCTTAGCCTGCAGTCCTCATGTTGTAAAATTTAATCTGGCTAAGCAGCTGATCACATTTTCTTTGTGAGAAGATGAAGCAAAGGCGGCGCTGAATGCTTCAGACTTCTCTGCACTGCTATTTGCTCTATTTTCTGTTAACTAGCAGACTTGCCTACTCCATCTTTTCCTTAATATACATTTCTTATTGTTACTATCCATCCTCCTTTTATTAACTGAAAATCATTTAGCATCTCAGCCTTTTTGATGTTATCACCACAGGCTTGTGCTATTCCTTTGACTGCTCTCCCATATATGCCTCTGCTTCCACTCGCTGTATAGCTCCTCCTGAATTTCAAGTCATAAAAATGTTCCTGATTCAATCAATATGCTTCTGAATATGGTTCCTACCTTTCCTCTGCATGTAGGTTGTAAGGAGTGCTGCATATTCTCTTCTGAAAAATGACCCTACAAATCTCATGTGTAAAAAAATTTAATGAGTTTCAAAACTGAAGCTGCTGAATGGTAGCAACTCACCAGCCTATGCCACATTTCAGTGACTCTTGCTCAAGCAGGGTTTTAGGATTTCTAGACAGGTGTGGGTTAAAATCCATCAGTTACGTGAAATTTGTAACAGCTGCAAAGTCCTTTGCTCCTCTCTATCAAGTGGAAGTGATCAGAAACACTACACTGAATAAAGCCATCTCTAGGGACGAAGCCAAAGTCATAGGCTGCTAAGCACTTACTTTTAAAGCTGTTGCAAAATGTTCCCCATCCAGCTGAATAATGTCTACTGTTTGCTAATTAAAACTCAAGCATAAAAGGGCTAAAATTCACTCACCGATTTGCCTTCAAGTTGATTTAAGAAGCGACAGTTCGGAAATTCACCATTTTAAAAAAGCTAACATTGAAATTCACATCAACTGATTTTTCACTCTAAGGCACAGAGTTTTCCACATCACAAAAGCACAGGCATTACTCACATCTTGTCATTTCATCATTTTCTTTGCAAATGGTCTGTTTCAGCTGCTCAATCCTCATCTTGCAAGACATTATTTTCCATCTCTGAAAAAGAACATTCAGCAACTCTAGGGCACAAACGACTTCAAACACACTGACTAATGATTAACAACAAAGCCAGCAGCTTTAGTGCAAAAGTAGCAGGATGTTCTTAATTGGATCAGACGAACAAGTAAATATTTCATATACTGCTTTGTGCACAGAAGAATGCTACAAACCAAATGCTTAGTATAAAGTCAATCAGTATAATAAGTTATTGAACAAATATCTAGTAAGAAATTAAAAGTATTGATGGTTTGAAGCACTCTGCTTGCAGAGCCAATTTCAGTTTTGCTTACAAAATGCTTTTTGAGAGCGCAACACAATGCCCTCAAGGTATACTGTAACTTTAAACTATGAGATCTAGGAATTCAGGAAGTTTAAAAACTGTGGGACACTTTAAACAACTCACCAGCTGATCAGTTATCTCCTTCCCTTCCATGGCCTTCAAAACACTAGAGGAAAAAACATGATTAAAAGTTTTATGACTATCTGGAGTATGTCTGTCTCCAGCAACAATGCATTAGAGAGACTGTTTTGTTTTTCTGAAAGTTCCTATGGTTTATTTTCATTTAATAATTACAACTTACTGTTTCTGGAATTCTCTCTGTTTGGTTTTAAGATGCATCAGCCTTTCTTTCTTGTCTGAAAACCTGGAAGAGATCAAGTGTTTTTATTGATATTTTGCACAATATGGCATTGTAAATTGTCTGAAAAGATCAAAAGACTGAAGCCTGTGGGAGTCCCTAATCTCAACTATCTGTCTTAATCTTGGGAAGCAATGGCTAGAGGTATAAAACTCTTGCAGAACTCTAGAGCATGTGTCTCACAGGAATTGCAGCAGAACCTCTAAGCTGAGGAAACATCATACTATTGAACTTGTAAGCAAATTACTTGCTATTTCTAGAAGATGTATAGCTTAGCAATACCAATATTTTGTGTATTAAGAAAAACATGTAGTACTCTAAAAACCTTTAGTCACTGGAGAAATTAACAGTACCCTCTCAGAGACTGTAGTGAGTCCAAACTGCGTTATTTCACAAGCTGTGATGGTATTAGCTGAGTCTGCCCTGATAGTGGGAAATGCAGGTTTTCACACACCGTGCACCGCATTTTCTCCCTTCTAATGTGAAAGTGTCTCACACTTTATTCATTAATGGGTCCAAATGGGACAACACACTCAAGATTTTTACATGACATCCAAATCTTTCTTCTATTAGTAACAGGAAGAAGTTGTATTGTCTTCTTATTTCTACTAGGTACTTGTAGCCATCACATGCCCATGACCCAAATATCTGCTTGAGTTAAGCTCCACTGATGTCTGAGGTATAGGAACTACAAGGACCTGGTCAGAGGGAATATTTTAAGGATTCATCATTCTGTGTTTTCACCCTTGGAATACACAGCAGCTGCATTCTGCTCCCCTCCAGGTTCCACCATGTGTTGTGATATACGTTTAAAGAAAACATGAACGATGCATACTGAGAAATTACAATGAAGCATGAAGTGACAAAGCTAACAGTAAGAGCAAACAGCAAGGGAGACAGCCAAGAGATTTAGACAACGTAAAAAAATAGCAAATCTGGTTTGTCTTGTGCCAGCATATGGCTTCCCAGCTTTCCTTTGTGTTTGTGATGTTAACCAGCACTGTCCTGATCCACACCTCAAAAGTGTGTCTTTGGTTAAGTCCAGGTACAGAAAAACAACTCATTATATCTCCCTCTGCAACATGCAGAATAGACAATTTCATCCTAACAGAGGTCTAACATTTTACCAACAACCCACCAAGTCCTTTATTTCAGGGATATCTGAGCTTTATTTAGAACAAATTATACAGTAGTCCTTGACAGGATGGCATCTTGGGCCTCCCTCTCTGCTCAACTCCGTGGGCTTGATTTCAGGTAAAACTGTAAAATGTTTTTTTCCTTGAAGCAATGAAATCTGGAAGCTTGGTGACTAACTTTGGGTTCAGAAAGTGTGTAATCATCCTTCTACATGACATGAGCATGAAAACAACAACACAACTCTGACTCCTGCCTTCGTAGTCAACCAAAAATATCTGTTTTCCTTCCAAAACAGACCAAAATCAAATGCGGGTGCTCGGCATAAAAGCCAGAGGCCACGCGTGAGCCGGAGGAATGTGGCGCAACTGGAGCCCGGCTGCTCAGCCCAGCGCCTTCACTCTTCCTGTGTGTCCTCACACCACCAGTCATCATGGAAATTACAAAAGTGCACTGTACTAAGACTCCTGTTTACCAGAGAGAAATGCACACCTACTGTACCCCTGACCTTTGGCTCCAACCAAAAATAACTTGGCCCAGAAACACAGCACTCGGCAGTCACACAGGGAAAGAGAGCTGGGGTAATTTGGCAATTCTTGTTTTCAAAGCTGGATTAATGGGCATGGAGTCTGACTAAACGTAATTATCCAAATGACATCCATCACATCAGCAAAAAGTTGAATGATCTGTCAAGAATCTGGGACTAAATTAAGTTCTTACTGGGGAGGGAAGATAGAAATATTTGTGAAAGGCTGCAAAAATTACAGCTCACCACGCACTTCAGCAACTATGTCAAACAGCTCCTACAAACTTCTTTAGCAGGTTTCTCTTAAGCAAACATTTCCATTTCTTTATATAGCCCTAATTTTAATTGCATTGCATCGTGTAACTAATTTTTCTATATATATCTACAGCCTTTCAATTTGGCAAAGAAACAAAGCTTTGGATGAACAGGAACTCCCATAAAATGTAAACTGAGAGAAGGAGAGAGCTCAACATCTCAAATTATCCGTTAAATGTTTCTCTTTCCTCAAGTCTTATTACATTAAGCTGAGATTTTCTACAGTTACCTGGCTTATTTCCACATGGTCATAATTAGAGAGAAGCAACTAGAAGGGAGGACTTCCTAATCTATAGGAATTGATTAATGCTGAAGGAGTTGAGGACTGCAGTAGATACATCCATTACTGTACCTATTCACAAGAATAAAACTCCCTTGCTGCAAAAAGTCACTATTCCTAATCATAACCCACATCTTAGAGAAGTCAGACAGGCTTAGACATCACAATTATATTGTCTTTGGCTTTTGCCATCTGCAGACACAGAAAGCAAAGCAATTCAGTACCCTTGGAAAATACACCCTGAGAATTTATGTATATGACAGGCTGGAATAAACTCCTGGCAGCAAGAAGAGTCCCTGAGCTGAAACCAGCATCAAGATGCCGGCTTAGCTTTTGAATATACAACACATTACTAATGAAAAGAAGAATGTCAGCGATTATTTTACTGGAGGACTTCCGGACAACTCATCCTTAATTGTAGGTGTACTTCAATAATGAATCTTAACAGCTCCTCAATCTCTCCCCCTCACAGACACAGGGTGTGATTTTTGTCAGACATAGGAACAATTTTACTGTAGCTTCTACAAAAATTAGCACACAAAACAGTCCAATGAAAAGAAATCTGCAATAATTCTTACTATTTGAACATGAAATAAAATCTCTTCTCATAAGGAAAAAACACAAGAAAATTCTGAAAATAAACCACCACTGGATAACAAGGGGTAATACTCGCTTTTTTCACTTTTCACATGAGACAACAATCCTTTTCCCCAATCTGTAACACTTCAAGAAGACAAATGGGAGGCCCGAGTGACCCCATACACTTCTACATTCTGAATTTCTCACACGATGCTTATAAGCCAGACACACAGAAAAAACCTTGTCATGACCCTGTCAGCCTCCTCCAGCACCGGCTGTAACACTGATCTAAAATTAACCCAGGTACTACTAGAAGGCATAAAACAAACAAATAAATAATTATGACAGTAAACACGACCTGAAATCCAGCCAGTTAACTGCACCTGTCCCTGCATGACTTTGCCCTGGTGTGTGGTCACTGTTTAAAAAGTCGCTCCCTCTCTCTGTGCTCACATCACAGGAAATTCATAGACACCTGCTCACAGCCTACAAAGAGGAAAAAACCTGACCTCTGAAGCGACACGCTCTTCCTCACTTTTATATCAGTCATTCCAAGTATTAATTGTAGAATGCAGACAAAATATTTCAAGCACAGTTTTAAAAATAAATAATTCCATTATCTTCTAAAGAACAAGAAGAAAGACAAGCTTTACAGAGCTTTGTCCCTACACTGAGCGTTCCTGCTTCAATGGAGCATGCTTATGCTGTTCATGTTGTGTTATTCCTATGTGTTACGTTGTTCCTTTAATTCATTAATATGAAGTTGCTGTTTTCAATGAATCGCACTACTGCTTGGGAAGGTATTAAGCAGCAGGAGAAACAAAGCCTGGGGAAATCGAGCTTATAGGGAGGCTCTAGGAGAATAGAACAGCAGTGATCCCCACAGATGGGGATCCACATGATGTCCAGACAGAGGGGGGAGTGGGAGGGGGAAAGACAAAAAAAAAAAACCAAACCAAACCAACTTACTTCCTGCAGTTAAGAAATTCCATAAATATACATAACATTTTCTAGCCACAGAGGAATGGGACAGTTAAAGCATTTGGGAAGATGCAGTGAAAACTGTCAGACAGAAAAGCTGATCTTGTCTCACATGAGAAGATATGAGGAAGGTAAAGAAGGTTTTTTTCCAACAAACTGTTGCTTTTGATACTTTGGCAAAGGCTGCTTCTTTATGGTTTCATTTCTCTGATGGGTAGAGAAACTTCTTAAGCCTTGGTTAATACAGAACAACAGTGGTTCTACTGTAACAAAGACTACAGTTGAATTTCTATAATTAAGCCTAGAGTGTAATGAAAATCTTAAGGCTACAAAAGGGGGAGGAAAAAAATGCTTAATTTATGTTCCAAACTCCAAATCCAATATTTTCATGGAAGCTGCAGATAACCCCAAGCAGTCTCACACAAACGCGAGTTTTCCGCCTATTTTAGAAAGACTAAATGCAGTTTGTGGTTCTAGGACACAGTTTTTAATGTGAAAAAAAAACATCCCAACCAAAACCCAGCTGGTGGCAGACTGAGGTCTCAGTTTTGCAAGCTGATTCACGCCGGCTGACACCCCGTGCCCACTCCCACCAAGGTCAACGGAAGAAAGACGCCGCTGTCCCCTTGGCTGTTCTTGTGTTTGGCAGAAGGATGCAAAGAGCCTTTGGTGCGAGGACCCTACCGCACCACACGCTGCTTACCACCTTCCCAAAATAGTTCAAGAAATCACTCTCAACAGCTGCTAACAAAGCTACAAATGAAGCACCAAGAACATGGTGTCAGCCAAAAAAATCAGAGCTATTCCGGAGACGGCGCTGGGCAGACTTTTTAAGAATCAGGGATGGACATGCTGCGAGCGACAGCTAAGGAGGGGTGATCTGCCTCTGAATCATATAATGAGAATATTTGTTTATTGATGTAACACTCATTCAGCTGCCCTCCCGTAGAGCCAACGCTTTGCAAAAAGGAGCAGGAAGGTGCGCGATTAACTCCAGTGGAGTATTTCTGTAATTCTAAAAGGGGGCCCCCAATTAGGATTAGTTATATAGACAGAAAAAAAAACTTAAAAAGGTGCCATTTTCTTGCACACCTTCCTGATTTTGTTTAACAATTTAGCAGACTACCCCTTTAACGTGTGCTGCTGAAAAACAGATACACATTTCAAATATCCTACCGCACAGCTCTCTCTTTACCCTGAACTGCCTGGAGCTTCTGTTGGCCACATCAACACGGGCATGCCTGCTGACAGCTGCACCTGACTAAGTGAAAGGCGGAATACTACATTATTATTAATTATTATTATAGGCAACGCGCTGCGGGTGCTGCTCTGCCAGCGCGGGGCAGCCCCCCACCAGCAGCAAGACCGTTCCCCCATTCCGCCACCCCACGCCCCGTTTACTGCTCCCCACGCCGGGGCAGCGACCACAACCCACTCCCTCCCTCCCCCCCCCCAAAAAAACCAAACACAAAACCTTCCCCCCGGCCCTAAGGGGGGCGGGGGAGGGGCTGCCCAGCGGCGGGCGAGGCGGGGCGGGGCAGTGCGGCCCCCCCCCCCCCCCCCCCGCCACTCTCGGCGCCGGGAAAGCGAGAGGGTGTCCCGCTCCCCGCCGCCCCCGTCCCCTCAGGGCCACCGGTACCTTTCGGAGTCGCGACCGTCGAAGAAGACGAAGTCGCCGCTCCGGACGCACTTGGCGCAGGTGAGGCGGCGGCGGGTGGTGTTACAAAGCGGGCACCGCTCCACCGCCACGTACAGCCCTTCGGCGTCCTCTTCGGTGCCCCGCAGAGCCCCCGGCCCGGCCCCGGCCCCGGCCCCGGCGCCCTGCGGCCGGCAGCCGCTGGGAGACGCCATGATGGGCTCCCCGCGCCGCCGGTCACGTGGGACTTTGTTTTCGGGCAGGGGCATTGTGGGAAGGAGGAGGGGGGGCAGCTTCCCGCCCAGCCCTGAGGGAGAGGGGATCCCCCCCCCCCCCCCCCCCCCCCCTCCAACCTGGTGCAGGGGCAATGACAAGCACGGCTTTAAAAATAAATAAAATAAATTCTTCCTCTCAGCCTCCTAGTCTGGCTACCTGCGGCAGGAAGGAGGTTTCCCCTTCCCCTGCACCCAGAGCGGGGTTGTGGGGGGCGAGCCCCACAGCGGGCAGGTCAGACAGCACAGCTCCTCTGCGCTTGGTAAGGAAATTGTGCAATTATTATATATATATATATTTTTTTTTCCTTTTCAAAAGCTGAAGCTAAAAAATACGCAGCCAGCATCCCCTCTGCCGTCCTGCTTACTGCAAGGAGGAGCGGGGTTGCATTCTGCTGGGTGTTCAGGGGCCTCACACAGGCACTGCTGGCCTGGAACCCAGGAGAGGCAGCGCTGGGGTTCCCCGTGTAGGAGACCGGGACCTGTAGCAGGGCAGTGGTGGGGCCTCAAGGGCAGTTCTGCTCCTCACAGTCCCGAGGGGGCCATCTGCACCACAGCCAGTCAGTAACACTGCTGCGTGGGCTACTGTAACAAGGCCACTCCCTGTATTTACAATAACATCACAAAAAAAAATTGTATATGTGGCAAATATTGATACACAACCCGAAGAATGACAGACTAATGGGTTTCCTCCCCCCAGCCTCAAGGTGGGAGCCAGAATCAGGAGTTGGGTATCATTGACTAGTATGTAGAAGCAGGGTCTTTGTGTCACAATATAGAAGGAAACGCCAGGCAATTTGGGACCACACAAGCCAGAACAACTTAAAGTAATATCCTCCTTCCAAAAAAAACCCAACAAAAAAAACCCCACCCGAAAACACCTTCCAGTTCAGAAAAGATAATTCCAGCCTACATTGCTTTCCTTTCCTAGTGTACTTAAGTGCTACAAAACACTTGCATGAATGGCACTACATAGGTAAAACCACAACAGTTGTTTTTAAGACAAGAGTTACCATAGCAAGCTTTAACTTAACCAGTATCTCGGTGAAAACGCACAGAGCCTATTTCTTATCTTTAAGGCTTTATCCATACTTTTAAATAGCATTAACTTTACTGGTGACATTATGTGCCAAGCTCTTAATTAAAATGCAATTTCTTGAAGAGGGCTGATCTTAGATAATTTTTTTCCAGCATCCCAATACGAGCAGGTTGTTTTTCACTTGCAAAAGATTATTGTAATTCAAGCTTATCAGCAATTACAGCTACAGTGCAAATAAAAGTCCAGCCCATAGCTGTGGAAAGTCCACAGCGTTAGAAAACAAACAGAAAAGTAAGCCTCTGTTTGGAGTAGATTTGAGTGTGGAAATCCACCGTTTGACTGTGACAAAGAAACTGATAACATAGTTAAAACCAGTTTATCATAAGGAAGTGCATTAAAGTTTTTCAAACTTTTTTTCCAGAGGAGCAGAGACACAGTTATAAAAGCACTTGAGAGACATATTACAGACACAGAAGTGAAAAATCACATCCTCACCGGATCAGAAATAAACCTGTGACAGCAAAACCAAGCCCAGCAAGACTGACACCCTGTTCTGTATTAAGCCATTGCCCATAGTGGGTATTTCCAGCAAGGACAGAGATTAGCTGTTGGCCTGGGTTACACTTAAGTCATCTAACAGCAACCTCTAGTGGCGCCGGGAGCTTCCTGACAGATCTGTTCTGTCTTCAGCAGGAAGCAAGGGGAGGACACAAGACAAACCCCAGGAGCTCCAAAGCCCAGTTCTGGAAAAAATTCTTGCTTCTAGGGAATCACAGGAGGTACCAGAACAGCCAAGGGGATAATCTTCACACTGCTCCTAGTCACGTCACCAGTCTGCGCATGACACCTTTTGCAAAGGAAGCCTTGCGTTCACTTGGAGATAACACAAAGTACAAGAACCCCACTCTATTCTCAAGTCCATTTTAAAGACAGTTCCTAACCAGCATGTTTTTGTCTGGGCCAAGCAACAAACTCTCATCATCTGAGGGGACTTCATTAATACAAGTGGGTACCATTTTGTTAAAGTCTTAATTTGTGTCATAACCCCTCCACCCACAGACTCTAGCTATGTTCCAGCACTGTCAGGGGCCTTGAATGTCTTCTCTGTATAAGGAGTACCAGCATCACTACACACAAGAGTTAATGCAACCAGTAGGATCAGAGGGATTTGGTATGTGTCCTCAAAACACTGAAAACAACTATGCTGGATTTTGTCAGCTATCTTGTATTGAGTTTAAACATGAAAATACAACATTTCAGGAGCTAGGTTTCAGTACACTTAAAGCTGAGGTTTTTCATAAAGCTAGTTTGAAGTGCAGTGTTGATTCACCTGTTCAACAGGGGAAAAGACACAGGGTTTCTATTACAAAATACTTTTAAGTGCCACCTTAATATACATTATATTAAAAGTACATTTGTTTGGCAAATTTTTCAGCTTGACAGAAGGTGTCAGAACTCAAGTGGGTTACAGACAGCTAATCTGAAAGCAAAAAAGCATCTCACAAACTATAGAAAGGCATCAGCACTTACAGCATTCAGAATAGCATCATTTGCTTATTAATCCACAATTGTACAACTGTGTCCAGGAACACCCTTGCTTCTGTCCCACGCATAGTAGTACAAACCCATGTATTATTATTATTAGTTGCTTTATGGGCCATGTTATGATGCTTTCTTGAAACCTTTTAGAATGGGGTAGATGTTCTCAAATGCCTCATAGATTTCGGAACGTTCTTTTGCTCCTAGAAAGACATTTAGGAAAAAACAAGTTAATTCTTAACAGATTACTGAGAATAACTGAGTGCAATTAAAACCTAATAATATTAAAAACCATGAAGAAACACGAGTTTAAAAGCAACTTATTAGTTTAAGTTAGATTTTCTTTCATACTTCTGCCTCCTCAAAGAATAATTTCTAGCTTGTTTTGCTTTAAGACTAGTTTTGTTTAATCTATAGAACCAAAACAGGAGTTGGCTACTCCTGACAGGTGCAAAACATTGACTTTGGAAAAAAAAAAAAGGCAACTGGAAGTACTATGGCTTTATCTGCTTAAGAGTAACAGCTCTGCCTGTTGGTAAGTAGAAAGATAGAAACAAGTGAAGGACATTTATTCCAATACTGGAAGTTGATCCACAGTTTAAGAACTCCCATCCTCTAGTTCTGAGCAGCTTTTCTATTTTCAAGCTTTGTTAGGGCACCTGCAATTTCAAAGCCAGCCTTTTCCATCTTACTGCAAGCAAATCTTTAGTACCGAGGCCTGTAGCCTGACTGTAGTGCAGTAGGCAGGAACATTCCCTGGCAGTGACACGACTCTACCACACTAGTGCAACAAGCCTTAGCTACAAGAAAACTGCATTTAAATGAACTAGCAGTTGGATTAAGTGCCACTCAGGATGAATGTGCAAATCTTTCCCTCAGAACACACTTGGACATGACTAATTCATCTGCGTTACTACAACTTTTACTTTCAAAAATAAAGTTACTTTCAAGTTACTTTCTTGATAAGGAAGAAAACTTCACAGCTCAGCAAATTCAGTTTTGTCATTCTAGTTGGGCCCAGTGCTGGGCCTGCTGCACACTGGGTGTTGCAATTAGACAACCCCAAAATGCAAGTATCAGTGGCATGGAACTGGCCAGTATGATTTTACTGGACCTAAGAAGAAGGCGGGGGGGACACTGGAGGGGAAGGCATTGTACTCCGTGCCCCATTCTTCAGTTAGCTGGGCTCATTCATGGTTTATGATTGTGGGAATCTTTAAGGCAGACACTTCTCTTGTCTTTCACATACCTCAAAGCTGTGTTGTGAATATACATACAGCAATTGGGTCCTCTGGGAACAAGTACCATTTACCTTTCAGTACATCTGAATAAAAGTATTTTCACGAGCTTTACAAAAGAATGTGTTAGGAACATGTACTCACAAATTCAACTTTTTTGACATGGGATCTGAGGCACAGCTATCTGCTGAGCGCACTTACTCAGCAAGGCTTTTGCTTCATGAGAGTTTTGCCAAACAGTCTGGAACAAGTTCTTACATCTCCACCCTTTCCTCTAATAATGCCTACTAAATGTAGTCAGTGAAGTGTTTTAAGAAGTCTGCTTCCCGTCCAAGCAATTTTAAATTGCTTATTGTGATTTTCGTATTTAATCGACTGAGTAGTTACTAGCATGTCAACATCTTCTCAGGATTCTGTACATTGACACAGGGCATTATGCTTTGGATAAAGATACTCAAGGTTAATGACATGGAAATCTGAACTGCTATATGAAGCAATCTGATATTCTAGTGCAACAATACTGATATTTTTATCTGCAGAAAACACAGATAAGCAGCAGTAGACATTAAGAAGATCGCCGAGTGGCTTTACTGTGGCAAGACATTAGTTTAGCTAATGTTCAATTTAAACACTTTCTCAGAAGATGTGGTAGCACTTGATTAAAGATATACAGAGGGAGACCGCTCACCAGTCAGTACAACTTTTCCAGACACAAAGATAAGCAGCACGATCCTTGGTTTGACCATCCTATAAATTAGTCCAGGAAATAGTTCAGGTTCATAGCTGTTTCAAAGCAAGCAGGTAAGGTTAGTAAAACGCCAACACTGTTTCAGTGTTGTATGCATAAAGTGCTCTTTAATTATACTAACAATAGAGTAATTAAACCCACAGATTGTAGCTAGCTACCCAGAGAAAGGCAGGTCAGGTTTTAAACATCAAGAGAAACCTGGTAATCCCATCTGGAGCTGGTAGGAGTTCTTCATGCTTACTTTTAAAGACTTCTGAATGTGACTTTCCACAGCATTGAAACCATTATTGTAATCTTCAAACTGCTCAAATCCTTCTTAGTCTGAAAAGAGCTCTTATCAGGAAGCATCTTGTGCAACTAAGGCGAGATGACAGCCAAGTGAATC